GTTTTGCTTTAATCATCCGTTTGCTTACATTTACTGTATATCTTCACTGTTTGCAAGTTAACTCTGTGTTGCTTTCTTAATCACATTTTTCAGTTTTTTCTTAAAACTTTCGCTTCAGCTCACCAACAGCCTCGTTTCTACTTTGATAAAATCATGAACGGATTTACAATAACACAACAGCTGAGCATGGATGATGTTTAACATGATTAATTACATTTCTCTTCAGTGATGCCGGTTATTTTACTGTGAACTCACTTTTTCATACACCCGTGGAAAGTATTATGATGTAACCTCTGTCCGTCCGTAAACGTTCTCGTCCCGTTCATGACTTCTTATCCGCTCAAGAGTTTTGCATACACTTTTCATCACCCCAGCTTTAAGGTCAAGGTCACAAATCAAGGTCAAATATTGAACAGTCTTTGCTCCTCCATGCCATCGCTATAAGTTGCTGTATAATCGGTTGTTGATGGGCATATATGTGGTTCTCCTGTTCTTCTCAGCATACTCTACGAGTGAAGGAAGAATAAAGAGTGAGATTAACAGACGGATTGGTGCAGCATCTGCAGTATTGTGGACTTTGTGCTGGTCCGTTGTGGTGAAGAGGGAGCTGAGCTTTAAGGCAAAGCTCTCTGTTTACCAGTCGGTCTATGTTCCTACCCTCACCTATGGTCACAAAGTCTGGGTAGTGACCGAAAGAATGAGATCGTGGATACAGGCGGTTGAAATGAGTTTCCTCTGCAGGGTAGCTGGACTCTCCCTTAGAGACAGGGTGAGAAGTTCAGCTATCCGGAAGAGACTCGGAGTAGAACCGCTGCTCTTCCTCATTGAAAGGAGCCAGTTGGGGTTCGGGCATCTGGTAAGGATGCTCCCTGGACACCTTCCTAGGGAGGTGCTTTGGGCATGTCCGACTGGGAGGACACCCCAGGGAAGACCCAGGACACGCTGGAGAGACTATGTTTCTCAGTGGGCCTGGGAACACCTTCGGGTCTTCCCAGTAGAGCTGGAAGAGGTGGCTGTGGAAAGAGAAGTCTGGGCCTGCCTGCTCAAGCTGCTGCCCCCGCGACCCATTTTCATAATAATCGGAAGATAACAGATGGATGGATGGATGGATGGATGGATGGATGGGATAAACAGTGAGCAGTGTGTAATTCTGTACATCTGGTCATATATAATGGGGCACAGTTGGCCGTGCAATAATTCTGGTTAAAGAGAAGGTTTTTTTCCACCTGCTGGCAAAAAGCAGGCGATAATGTTTTTATTTATATCTGTGTTCATTCGTCGGTCTAGTACCAAAATATCTCGGGGCAAATTTAAATCAAGCTTGCAGGAAGTTAGCATTGGACGTCACGTAAGCCTGTCATAATAAGAAATTTTTCAGGCCGATTGTCTCAGAAATTATTGCGATAAACGATAATGTTTGAATTTGACAATAATTAATAATTATTGTCAAATTTAAGAAGAAACGTTGGTTTATTTGCTTTGCATGTAGTACCTTTTTTCGACCACCTGATGGCAGTATAAGACTTTGAACCGAAGGGTGGCTAGTGAGGGAGCGAGCAGCGTGTCTCTTTAAGAAAAATGGGAGGGAGGCCCCTTGACGTGACATGGGCTGTCTCTCCTTCCTGTTTTTGGTTCTCAAAATGGCGGATGCTCTGCGTGGTTTGAGCTCTTTAGCATAACATTTGTCACACAAAGCTTTTAATAAAAAAAAAAAAATCATTATTAAACAAGTTTTCAGCTTCTTTTTGCAAAGAAAAACAACTTTTTACACGATGTGTGTGACGGTACGCTAAAATCACATTTTGGTTCAGTTTCAGGGAAGGCTCGGTTCGGTTAATTTTCGGTACAAAAAAGGCCAAAATGACGACTTACACAATGTTTACTTTGAAAATATGCCAAGTAAAGTATACGTTTGTATGAAAATAAATAACTGCGACCCATTTGGATGATATTTTACATAAACGGCACTCTTTACAATAAATAAACTATACTAATAATAATAAAAATCTTAATAAACACAATAACAATCAGAACCAGAACAATAAGCAGCAATAGACCATTTGGGAGACCATGGGGGAGTGGTGGCACAGAGGATAGGAAGGTGGGCCTGTGATCGGAAGGTCACCGGTTCAAGCCCCGATACAGACGACATCAAAAATGTGGGTGGGGTAGGTGAAGCACCCACACTTGTCCCCACCCTCATTTGCCCCGCCTTGGGCACATGAGCAAGGCCCTTAACCACCATCTGCTCCTAAACAGGTCTCTCTTGAAAATGAGTTCTCGTGGCTCAATGAGACTACCTGTATAAATAAAGGGTAATTGAAAAAATGAAAGAAAAAAATTACGATCTAACTAATCAAGTTTTAAGTTTTTGGCAGAAAGAGAAAGGGAGGGGTCAGTGAAGAGCACCGGAGTTGAGCCTTTTATCATCCAGTGTCTTCAGTAGAAAGAGAGAGACCCGAAGAAACGATAAAGCCGATAAATGAAAATGAGGTCGATGATTTTCATTTATCATGCGATTAATTGATTATTATTTGTTTATCGCGACAAGCCTGATTGGACATTTGTCTACAAATGAATAACCTCTAGAGACAACCCTATTCAAGATGGCGTCCACCGCCATCTGATCCTAGAAACACAAAATGGCTATAATTCAGTCAATTTAGAAAATTTTGTGCTAAAATTGGGTTTATTTATTGCAGGGAGATTTTTACAGCCCAAGAGATCTTAGCTCAAAACATTATCGATAACTGTCGGAGTCAACTCTGTTTGTCTGTTAGTAAAATATTTCATGAACTACTTAAGGGATTTTAATACAACTGTCAAATTTGGTTCCATCTACAACTTATTAACTTTCAGAGTTGATCAGTTTAATGGCTGCCACAGCTAATTAACATTAGCAACACTAAAATGGCTAACACTCAGTCACTTTAATGGACATTGAGCTAAAATTTGACATGGTAGTAGCCGAGTCATTTACAACACATACTCAGTGTGACTACAGCTTTATTGCTCAACTTGAGATGATTTTAGTCTGAAACCTCGGTCTGAACGTCACAGGCAGTTCACATTCGTTCAGATTTCGATGTAATTAAAACAATTTGGTCCTGATGTTGGCACACAAACATTTTTAAATGTTCCTGTTTTTAGTATTCTACACCACCTTACAATCTAGCTGGTTTTTTTGCTACTTTTCCTTTTGATTGTCCTTTTGGTTGCCATTTTATTTTAACTTATTAAAAAAAAAAAACATATTTTATGATTGTCTATTCTTGTTGTTGCTGCCCACTGTTGTCATCACTCTTTGTTAAAAAATTCAGGTCTCTTTTGTAAATGAGTCCCCGTGGCTCGATGGGGTTAACCTGTATAAATAAAGTTTGAATGAATGAATAATCTTAACATCGACTAATAATAATAAATACTTTTGAGCAGGAGAAACCATTCCAGGTCATTAATATCAACTTTTATTTAGATTATTGGTGTTTCATGACATGAAGAAGTGTGTTGGAGTGGGGGTTGAACTGGGATGCTGACCTCCTCAGCTTGTCTGTTCACCTCAGGTTACAAAGTAAAAACCTACGGGTTTTTTTTTTGACTATACAAATATCACAAACAGACTTTTTATGATTCCTTCTGTTTAAATCAATTTGTTTCCTCCTCATAGTCGTCATCATGTCCTGTGCTCTTTTTCTATTCATGTCAAACAGATCCTTTTTTCTGCTCTATTGAAAGTAATCCTGGTTAAATATTAAAGGACTGTTCTCATGTTTCATCTCTTTGGACAAAGGTCTTTAAATTACCATACCTCTCTGTGTACATAAGACGGTGTGAGGTCCAGATTGTTTGTATTACAAGCGGGGCAGAGACTGCAGATCCCAGCAGTCGTCTCGTTGTATAAACAAGTTCGGTATTGTTTCATTTCCACGTATAAGAAAGAGAAAAAAATGCAGGTTAGGGATCTAAGCGGACATTGTGTTGGTTTACACCATATCACAACCACAAATCTGGACTCAGTTTTCAGTGGTGAAATGGATCCACATGTAGATCAGCTGTTAGGCAAACGGATAACTGTCAAAATAAGAGTCTTTTAAATTTAAAGGTTCATTTGGTGAAAAGTTGACTGTAAGAAGACGGGATCTTGTATTTTATTTTTGTGGACAGGCACACAGGCAGTGTGCTGTCACACCTTCGTGTCTCTTCTGCAGTTACACCTGGGTGGGAAAACTCCAGCTCCCTCACAAAATTTGTAGCGCACAGTAAAAACTTGGTCACGCCCGAGGGCCTTTGTGTATTTTTGTTCTTACTTTTAACTGCATACTAAGAAAACGTACATTCCCAACTGAATCCGCTCTCTTCTTTCCGGCTTTTCCAGTCACTTCCTGCACACCAGGCTGCTAAACGTCAGTTACTTAAATTACTATGTTGTCTTTATGTGCTTTAAAAAAGGTACGGTTTCATTCCTCAAAAGAAAAACTTTGCATGAACTTAAACGTCGTCTAAAAGAGGAAACTGTAATTTTTATAGCCAGTAGTTGATGTCACAGGAGCATGGACGGTAAACTGAGACATCAGAGGGGAAAAGGTGTGAAGGAGGTGAGAACGGAGGGCGTGTGCTGCCTGACAGTGGGAGGGGAGGGGCAGGGATCAGGAACGACAAAAAAAAAAAAAAAAGCCCAGAAAAAGGCTGGGGATAAGGAAGAAGGGACGGGCCGGCTCGTATTTCGGCTCTGCGTTCTAGGGTTGGGTGTAATCCTAACTCTGCACTCACAACACCAACCGCCAACACTTGCACTCTGGACGACGAGCTACGAGTTTCAGGGAATCCTCAGCAGCTCGGTGTCCCAACGTGTCTGTGTCGTGAGCGTGCTGCAGGTGTGGCCTTCCTGATTTTTTAAAATTTTTTATTATTTCTTGTGCTGCTGATTGAAGATCCAGATCCAGATAGTTGGGAACACCTGGAGCATTTACTTTCCTTACCCTTTTCCATTTGGTTTCTTTAAACCAACCTCACTCTGCTTGGTTTGCTTTTATTTATTTTTTGCCGGTGCCAATGTCAACAATACAAGAAGAAAAAACAGAAGCAAGCGTGAAAAGAAGAAACGGGCAGAAAGGAATCTCTGTTTGGCAGGAGGACATCACATGTGAGCGTGTTTTTGCCAGCGAGTGAGCATGAATGTAACTTAATCTGGCTTCGAAAAGACCTGGGGAGGCCGAAACCTCTTAACCTTCTCGCCTTCCTTGACACCGATGGGCTATGTGTCAGCTGATGAGAGCTAACAGGGGAGAACGGCACCTAACAGCACGCACGGTCGTAAACAACAACTGCTGATCTGCTGAGACTGGAAAGTATCTTGGCGTAATTTGGAAAACACTCTCCACCCTAAGTGTTGTGTGGAAGAGGGGCTGTGGTTTTCCAGATAACTGGAGGGCTTAATTACTCTTTTGGGTTTCGAAATTACGCCTGGAGTCTTAAAACCAAGTGGACGGGAACAAACTTGAAGGAAATGATTTAAAGATGTCATTGCGGTCCATGAAACGGAGATGAAGTGAAGGGAGTTGGAAGTGTTTTACGGCCGGGTCAGAATCGTGATGTGGGAGTCTGCAACCAAAGGGACAACAAAGTGGCTCATGGCTGAAGCTTTTCAGGTCATGCATGGATATGAGTTATGCGGCTGCAATATTTGGAACCACTTCTACATATAAACCAATGGATGCGTGTCTAAATATTAATATACCACGGTAAAGCTACTTCATTACTGGACTTTATTTCCCTGAATGAGGATGAGAGGAGACCGGAGATCCGCTTCCTTCCACAAGGAGAAGCCGGCGGGCTTGTCTCGGGCCCTCAGCTGGCTCAACCTCTCCCACCAGAGGAAACGCATCTTCCACAGCCAAAACGAGCTCCACGTGGCTCACAACCACCAAACACACTCCCGCTCGCGCACCAGTCTACATTTGGCACACAGAGACGAGGATGAAGACGTTGATAACTGGGTGTACCGGCCTCAACACAAAATAGGTGAGAGTGGAGCAAGAAAAGATTAACACTGGCTCTTCCTATACGCCACATCACAACGTTTTGTTGCGTTATGACCTCATATGTATTTCCTTCTTACTTATAGGAAGTAAGTCAGTATATTACTTCATTTGCATGCTCAAGCAAAGCATTGCCTTTTTCTTGACATTTTTCCTTCATGTCTACAACTGTACGTAAGTGGGAGCTGAGAGGGATTTCATTCGGTGGTGAAAGACCACTTTGTGTGTGTAAATGGGTCAACAACGGCCTGTCAAACCGTAAGAAAGGGATGCCATGAGTGCACATGCCACAGGCTGGTACGGATGTGAGTACTGTATAGGATTTGGTGCCAGGGTTAAAGGTCGGGTTTTGTGGGATTAGATTTCAGCACAAGCGACAGATATTGTTGAACAGTAGTCCCTTTCCTTTTTTCGTGTTACATTTGGACATCTTGCCCGAGGTAAGAAGTGTGTTTATCTCTCAGCTTTTTGAGTGTGGCGTTTCAAATTAGGGTCATTATTTATTGATCAGTTCGTTGGTTGTGTGTCTTGGTACGTGCCAGTGTGTAGACTCATTCACAGTCTAGAGGAGTTTAGACACAATGGTTGTAACTTTAGCCTTGTGTTTTTCTTGATCCAGCACCACTGCAGCATGACCTTTGACCTTTACTGATATCAGCAGTTTGCCATGATTAATTTAGTTAACATTTAATTTATGCACCGTTTGCACATAACAAGAGAGAAACGTCTTCATGCAAATTAAAAATGTAGCATTAAAGACTCGTCGTGTAATTTAGTTGCTTGTTGTTCTCATGTTTCTTAAAGACTTATCTTTAATATATTCATATCATCTGCATCTAAACAGTTCTGGGGTCAGCTGGAATCATATCGGCTTCTTCAGGAAACGTTTCTTTTGCTCTGTTAGCATTTAGAATGACGTGACCTGTTTGTTTTTTCAAGCTGTTGGCTAATTTTTAACGAATCAGCTGATTACAAGAAAACTTTATAAGTTAGTTGTTTTTACCTGAAGTCGTTACTGTATAGCACGGGTGTCCAAAGTGCAGCCCGAGGGCCATTTGCAGCCCTTGGAGTGATTTTGTGCGGCCCACAACTGCAGTTTAAGAATGGTATCATGGTGTCAGGAACGTTTCACACCCACTTTATGTTGTTATAGACCAGCCGTGCAGAGTTTAGCAGAGATGTCTTAAAATAGTTTCACCTGTAAACTCATGTTGCCTAGCAGGAATGTGACGCTTGATGCTTTTGTTGTTGTTTATTACGTGTTTCGAATGTTCAACGTCTTTCTGTTGTGTCTGAACTTGCACCTTCCCAAAACAGCACAGAGATGCACGCAACTGGGATCATTGGAGAGCCTGAAATTCTTCTGCAAGTCAAAGGGGAGGGGAGTAAAAAAGTTTTGTTCAACACTTTGTATCTTTGGCATTTTGCCTTTCCATTATCCGCTGCATATGCTGTTTAAAAACATTTATCGCTGGAGTGGTGTATTTTAAATGTCCATCTGATAAGTCAGCAGCAGAGTGTGTCAGCTTTGCATGCTTGTGTCCGAGATCTTTGTCTTAATGTAGTAATCTCCAAGTTGCATCACGGTTTGATCTGCCTTATATAAGAATAACATCCCACTTTGAAATATGCAGCATGTTCCGTTTGTTTTTCATGTTGGCTAAGACTGAAAGAATAATATAAAACTGCAACGAGAGACAGAAAATAATACCTCTGTTTCTCTTACGCTTATGTGTTTTTGTTTGGTTATACATATTCTTATTTTTATTTACTCAGACCTTTTTTCCCTCTGGCCTTTCCTGTCTGGGTTTTACACAGGCTGTATCTTTTTATAGCTAATGTTAAGCCAGAGACAAAGTCGGAGACAGGTCAGTATAAAATTGTTCCAACCAGAGCATGCACACATTCAAACAGTCCTAACGTAGGCTGCAGACTACACAGAGGAAACAGACGAGTGAGTCTGCACTTTGAACGTTAAATATATAACAAGCGGAGCTCTTGAGTCCGACCGGGACTCGTTATGAGACACGTGTCAGCCACGCACACTGCCAGAGAGCAAATATAGCTCTAAAATTGGTGCCTGGATCCAAAACCTGCAATTTTGATGCACCCTTCATTTGGACTTTTTTTTTTTTTTGCCCGAGGTTGTCAAGGTTACGGGTTTGTGACCAAGAGGCTCTTGTTGTGGTTCTGTTGGACTTTCCAGCTTAAAGCCAGTCATGAGGAAGATGAGCTCTTCTTCTCTGAAGTAAAAGCTGCCATTGGCTGCTTCTGGTCAAGTCAAGTGAATTGGCAGCAAAAGTGTTTTTTTTTTCTTGGATCAGAAAAAGTATAAATACATTTTAATAGACTTTTTAAAAATAATTATCATTTTTTTATAACGTTTTTTTTTAAAGAAAATATACAATTTTAGCGTCAACTTTTAAAAGCTTTGAACAATTGTTTTCTTCATTAAAAAGCACCCTTAAAGTACCGTAATTTCCAGACTATAAGCCACTACTTTTTTCACACGCTTTGAACCCAGCAGCTTTTACAGTGCTGCGGTTAATTCATGGATGTTTTTTGTTTGACGGACTAACGAGCTTCACGCCGCCAAAACATTTAGCCTCGTCTCACCCGGATGTTCACATAGCTGCTCAAGACACGTCTCTCTTGGGGGCGGGCCCTATATGTACAATTCTTTTTAAATGTAGTGGGCGTGGCTTATATTCAGGTGCGCTCAATAGTCCTGAAATTGCAGTAATAAAGAATTGTAGTCTGTTTTTATTGTATTCTTGTTTTTCATTATGCCATTGTTCAGAATGTAGTTTAAACCTATGCTTATTATTATAAAAGATTAGAAAAAAGTTCAAATAAAAATTAATTGTTATGAAGCAAACTTTAACAAAAGTGATAAAAGATAAACACGAACGATTATTTCCTAATCTTATTAACTAATGGTTGTTTCTAATCAGTTTTCAGAAACAGATTTTTTCTTAGGTTTTATTTTCTTAAGTTTTTTTTCTACTTTTATTTAATATTATCTTGAAGGCTGTTTTTTTAATGCAAGACCCTAAATGCGCACTATTAAAAAAAAAGCTGACTTTATATAAAGAAATCAGAATATTTCAAGAAACCAAAGTGAAAAACCATTAACCACTGACTTACTTTGTAAATCCAATAATATTAAGTTTATTTTATCAAACTAAGTAAATCAATAAACTTTAATTGTTGGTTTGATTGTTGTCATTCCATAAAAAGTAACCTAAAAGTTAACTTTTTAATCTAAATCACAACTTTATTTTTTTTAAATGGCTTTGAACAAAATGGCAGTTCAACAGGATTCAACAGCTTCTTAGGTTTATTTACATTCCACTTGATCATAAATAAATCAACAGCTGAGTGATTCTGATTTAACATTTTAGCTTTTGGCAGATGTAGCTGAAGTTAACATGACAGCTGGGTGATTTAAGGCTTAGTGGTATTCAGCAGCGTTTATGTGCCATGTTTTTGGTATCTACAGTAATTTACTGCTGTTCTTTAGTTTTTTGCCAACAGAACATTGACCTTAATATTCATCATACCATGGCACAGGATTGTCGCAGCAGCCAGAACCAGAATTGGGTCTCGGGCGGTAAAATATCCTTAGGAAGATGTTTATGATTTTTATCTGTCTGTTTGGTGCACATCATGTGTGTGAGATGCTTACTGGAAGAGGATTCAGATGAGGTTGAACTCTTGCATAACAGTCTTTTGGGCATTTGGGACACATTTTCACTCTGAAATATGCTTATCGTCGTGTAGTCCATTTAAAAATCCAGATTAGTAGATACTTTGCTGGAAGGGAGAGATGAAAATACCTGCAAGACCTCCTTAAAAAGACAGATCTGGGATTGTGGCCCATGGACACGCACTGAAGCTGTACAAAGAATTATTTGATTAACACATAAAACTAACATTTTAGACTGTTTCTAATGACGGTTTTCTTTTTTTTTTTTTCATTTTTTTTTTCATGTGCTGACCATAATGTGATGAACTTCAGGTAAGTTGCATTATTCTTTCTGGCCAACATGACTTTATTTTCCATATCAGCTGATCTCAGCTCATGCTAATCTGCTGCGTTCTGCACGTGACTTCATCTGTTATTTCCCTTTAAAACAAAACATTTCCTTCTGTCAGCCAACTCTATCCAGCAGTTTGCATCCTTTTCACTTTTACTGTATCAAAGAAATGTGTGCGCGTGTGCGTGAGGGGGGCTTGGGCCCTATTTTACTGGGATACTGTACATTGTTGTGGTCTCAACACAGTCCAAAGGCTTACAAACCTCATCACTTCTAGAGCACTGATCTGTTTATTTCTATTATTGTGATTTTTCTCCTCCTTTGACATTTTACTAATGAATCTGTATTAAACTTGGAGGCCTGTTTATTTTCTGAATTGTAGGTTCCCTCTGCTTGTATGTCTGACTGCTCTTGTTGTGGAAGATTGGTCTGCTTTAACAAGCTTATATTTCTCATGAGTCTGAACCATTCAGTCTTATCTTTCACTGACATGGAGCACAAAGGGCACAGTTATATCACTGTGTGCTTGTACAGCAGTGGATGTGAAATACACTGAGTTACATTCAGATAGGTCTAATGTGGGAATTTTGGCATTATGCAAACCCTTTGATAGTGTTTTTGGCTGAATGAGAAAGGCTTCTTTTGCAGATTCATGACAGATAAAATGATTTTGAATGTTTCCTGCACAATTACGAAGGTTATTGCCACATAGTGAGACTTCATAAGTTAAACAAAGTGAAGAATATTTACTATTTGCTGCCAAATTAAAACAAACTATGATCATCCTTGAACTTTAGGTAGATTATTTCAACACATATTTAAATAAGTAACTGCCGAACATTTAGTTTGTTTCAATAGTTGGTCCCGTGGTTTGTTACCAGATGCTAGGCCTGTCGCGATAAACAATAAATCAATTAAATGCATGATAAATTAAAATTATTGA